TTATCAGTATTTCATGACAAATACGAGCAGCATTTTACAAGCATTTTACGAGAGACGCAATGCACGTAATGTACATTTAATTTCACTCGAAGAGGAAGTAAAAGCACGTTGAAAAACAGGAGTGTATCGTCGTAAAATACGAGTCTTGTGCTCGCGTGATAAATCCTTCGCTATTTCGGCACTTAATTCTGCATGGGTTGTTGGTGTAGCATAAATATCCTTCTCCTTTGAAACTGCGACGAGGGATTTAAAACTGACATGTTAAAAAAAAAAAAAAATGAAAGCGGCAACGTATATAACGTTTGACATTCTCAGTCATTTAATCGAGTCACTTCAATTTAAATTGTAAATTATTTAATCTCTAAACTACTTAATCTTGCAAATTATTTGGAGAACTACTTGATTACTGTCTTCGAAGACGACACGAAGTTCATCGCGAGTTGTTTACAATAATCTAAAGACAGGAAGACTCATATCATTGGAGAACGTGTAATGATTTAACTTCGAAAATATTCGAACGTGTATTGATTGCCTATGTATTCGTATTTAATGTAATGGACAGCATTTAGTATTGCTTAAATGAAAAAAAAAAAAAAAGAAAATTGAAAAATATATTAGTCTTTTCGAAACGCAAGATCAAAGATTATACATTATACAAGAATTCAAAATCACCTTCATATCTTGGAATGTCAAGAAACTATAATAACTGTTATACTATGCATTTTGCTACGCATCGAACAACTTCTGTTCGAAGTATCTTTTTTTTTCTTTTTCTTGTACAACAAACAGTTTACACGTAAATTCAGATGGCACGGTGAAATGACTGACTCTGTAGAATAAAGTGCTTGGATTGGCGGTCAGACATATTAGATTCAATTTGCAAACACGGACGACGCGACGGTTGTTCCGTGTATCCTCGACAACCGGGTTTTCTCTTGATCGGATGTATTTTCGGGCCGAGTTCAGAAAAGGAGAAATAAAGACGATTCGTTTGGCCGAGATCGAAACTTCCAGGTTCGAAAATTCCCTTTGAGCTTGTGCCGTAGTAATGGAGACTCTCTGCATCTTTTGTGGCGGCTTCGTTCCCTTCCTAATATTTTCCTTATCGATCCACGGCGCGAGTCTTTGTTGCCTTTTGGAAATCTCGTAGTTCGTTGCACTTCACCGGAACGGTTGCCCCGGCTTATTTCCAATTTTCCGGCGAGACGAACGAGTTCCCGTTCTCGCACAAAGCAGCTGGCAAACACTGTCCAACGTTAATCAGCTACTATCTTTGTAATTTACATTTAATCAGAAAGATTCGTGAAACGTCATCACAAAGATTTCGAGATTTTTCAATTTCGTTGATTTGACAATTCGCGAACAGAGATGCTACTATATGTCACCTTTTCGACGTTTCTCATTCTCCCTCTTTAATTCTTTTTTGATCTTCGAGTAAGAAAATTGTCATTTTGTAACTTTTCGTACTTCGAAACATTTGAAATGGTTCTAAATGCTCGAATTCCTTTCATCATATCCTCATTATTTTCATTTGTGGAAAAATTGTGCCCGTGACATATATCACATCATCAGACGTAATTTATCAATAAACGTAATTCTCTTATATGTTCTGTGTTGTTTCCTTTAGAAAAATATTGTACTTTGTATTTCATTGTATTTTATATTTTAAATATATTATACTGCACTTTTTGCAATTGTAAAGAAACATAATGTATAAAGAAACATGTGCAACAACACATGGGAAAATATTTACGTAGCAAATATTTTCGAACAGTAGAACAACATTCAGATAAATCTCCAAATTCTACGATTCTACCAGTCGATTTACTTATCAATAGCAATAAATGCTCCCTTCTCTATTAAATTTTTGTGTCTTTGAATTAAAATTATTTTATACACGCGATTGCAAGAAGATTTACTTACCAAAGTACAAAATTCTACTAGGAAACAATACTGACTGCAAGATTATTATGTTTAATTTCGCGATAAATCATCGTCCCTTTTTTCCCCTTTCGCAAGCTCGTCGCTCGTGTCATTAAATAATTTTACATTCCCCCTTTTATGGTCGCGCCCTTTTACAGATTGGCCGCGTAATGATGCCCTGAAACATCGAACGTCTCTGTATTTGTTCGGCCGCTTTCATCACCGGCCGGCACTCTGTATTTTTTCGTCCGTTTTAATTACGAAACTGCCATTGTTTACCAGCCTCGACGAGTTTCCCCGAATTGAATTTTATTCCTCGAGTTCCCCTGACCCGTTGCTGATCCACGCTCTCTCTCTCTCTCTCTCTCTCTCTCT